AAAAAATATTTTTTATTAAATTCAACAGTTCAAATAATGTATAAAGCAAAAACAATAATCAACTGCCGAAAATATTAAAATACTGTTCAAGAAAAAAGTAGTGACAGAGCATCATGAGTTAGTTATGACTTCATCACATGATGCTCTTTTCACAACATATAATTCTAAATGAATTTTGTACTGCATTGCCACTTAAAATTGCCCATTGCAAAAAATCACTAAGCATAATATTTTGCATTGCAAATTGCCATCTGAATAAAAGGTGCTGATAATACATGTCTGCCCCAAAATAGCTGGTTAAAAAATCTATAATGGTCTTTACAGTTCTTTTTTCCTAACCTGGTGGTTCACCTTGCTCTATTTCCTGAGCTCTAACTGTGCCGTTCCATTTGTGCCATCGGCTTGCGCGCGCAGTAACACTGATTTGAGAGCAGATATCAAWATGAACAAACAATAATTTGAACCGTGTGCACTCAAATAACACACACGCTCACGCAGCTTCCTCCCTGCTTGCTCAACTCTCTCTGTGCTCGACTCCCTCCCTCCTCTCAACCTCCCCTCTGCTCGCTAGTGATGTGCAAATCRATAYTGAAATATCGATACTACCGATACCAGAACTTTGTGTTCTAGAATTGATACTAAAATCAAAATATTGATACTTTGATACTTCAGGTATTTCACATAATGTATATCATTAACAGAAAAATAGTGAAAAATAACTAAACTATTCAAATCTTGTCTTAAACATATGTTGTTGGAGGGAACTACTTTTTCTTCCGCTTGGGTAATRCATAAGCACAGTAGCCTGTGTTCAGTCAGTCACTCAGTCTGTAGATGTATGGCAGGTCATTTTAACATAAAATCTGCTTTGTCTGACTGTAATTAAATTCTACTTCCCAAAAATTTTCATGCCATGGCCCCACAAACACGGTTAGCTCTGGCCAAGGTCCTTCTTGCAAACCCACAAACAATGCTACAAAATATACAACGTAACAACTTTTAGACTGTTTTCTCT